CGTCTCCAGGTAAGCTGAGAGCGCGCAGTGGGACCTAGCTAGCACTTGTGACCGGCTCCGTCCTCCATTCCGGTAAAAACGATCACGAACAAATCGCGATAGTTCCCCCCTCCTAGACGCGGCCACAGCCGCGGCCAGGGCTGCGAACGCAGCCGCAGCCACGGCTTGAAGAAGAGAACCGCCGCGAAAAAAACGCGATAGCTTCCCCCCCAGCCGCGTCCGCGACCGAGACCGGGCTGCGGCCGCAGCTGGAAGAAGGAAACCATCACGAAAAAATCGCGATGACTTCCCCCTCCCAGATGCGGCCACAGCCGCGGCCAGGGCTGCGAACGCAGCACCGGCCGCGGAAGAGAAGCACCGCGAAAAAAATCGCAATAGTTCCCCCGCGCAGCTGCGGCCGCAATTGCAGCCGCAGGGGGGGAAATTTGCGGAAAAGGCCTGGGTAGCCGAAACAGGCAAACCGCATGCGACATCCCCACAATCGCGCGTGCGTGCAGAAGACGCGAAGCAGCGCGAATTCCCACACTTGCTGTAAGCCGCCAAGACGAGTCGCTGACCTCCGGTGCGCGACCAAGGTTGCCCCGTGGTTGTCCCGTGGTTGTCCCATGGTTGTCCCGTGGTTGTCCCCCGTGGCGAGCCCGGGATCGTCCCGCGGTTGTCCCGTGGTTGTCCCCTGGTTATACCCTAATTGCCATCGTGGTTGTCCAGTGGTTGTTCCGTGACTGTCCCATGATTGTCCTGTGGTTCTCCCGTGGTTCTCCCGTGGTTGTCCGTGGTTGTCCCGCGAATATCCCGTGGGTGTCCCGTGGTTGTTCGGAAGTTATCCCGTGGATGTCCCATGGATATCCCGTGGTTGTCCCGTGGTTGTCCTGCGCTCGCCTGGTCTGTATCTATGAAGATCCGCCGCGGTGCCTCGCAAGGTGTAGTGCTCTCAGGTCCCTTGCTCGATACCCTGGGACCTCAGTCCTCAATCCTGAGGGTTCTCATGGGCGCCCAGATTCCTATGCCTCGAAGGGGGTCTGGGTTTGCGGAGGCCCGCAGCCCAGTGCACCGCCAGGGTGCGGTTGCGGGTGCTGCTGGGGGTGCGGCTGTGGCCCGACGCGCGCTGCCCTGCCACGGCCGAGGGTGCGGCTGGAGGGTGCGGGGTGTAGGTGCCCGCGGCCGCGGGCGGCCTCAGAGGTGCCCCAGACACTGCGGGGACAGAAAACGGTGACCACGACCAAACCTGAACGCGGAAACGTCGGTGCCAATCTTGGTCACCGTCCACCTCGATCATGGTCGACTCGTGGACCATCCTCGCGAATTGGCGACGGCTGGCACAGACCATGACCGAGATCGGCGTCGACAAGCTCCAGCGATACCTTGGTCATGGTGGTCTTGCTTCTTCTCTCGACAGACTGCCCGTTGACGTCGGTCAGCCAGTCACCCGATCAATCACTCGGCGGGCACGGGAATACACCCCGCTTCGCTGGTAAAACTGACAGGAGAGGCCCCACGGCCCCTGGCACCTCAGAAGCAGCGCCCGGCGCCTCTCCTCCAGCAGGTCCCGCTCCTCTGGCGCAGCCTGGCGGGGAGGCGGCATCCATACAGTGAGTGGCGCCTCCCCCCTCTTCGGCTGTATGAGGACGTCGAGACAGGCATGTGCTGGACTTCTCTCATCATTCGTACTCGTACTGATCAGTATTTTTTGTTTTTTTTCGCGGAAACGACCCTGAACCAAGACAAATGCATTCTTATGATTGCTCTCCTTATCCTTATTGTTCTTGTCATGTGTATTATTGCGACCATTCCCCAGACAGCGCTTGCACCCAAAGGTTCTTGCTTATGCCTTTGAAAACTGGACGGGTCCGCCGAGGTTTCGCAACGGCGCCGCCCGTCGCCGCCCCGTTGCCGCCCACCGCGCTTGTGCGGACCGCCGAGGACTCGCCACGCTACCGCTCATTGCCGCCCCGTCGCCGCCAACCGCGCTTCGGGGGTCGACCGAGGTTTCGCCACGTTGCGGCCCGCTGCCGCCTCACTGCCGGCCACCGCGCTTGGGGGGCCCGCCGAGGTTTCGCAACATGGTCGCCCATTGCCGCCTCGTTGCGGCCAGCCACGCCTGGGGGTCCGACGAAGCTTCGCAACGGTGCCGCCGTGTGCCGCCTCGTTCCCGCACACCGCGCTCGGGGGGTCAGGTCCGCCGAGTTTTCGCCACGTTGCCGCCCGTTGCCGCCTCGTTACCGCCCGTTGCCGCCTCGCTGCCGCCCGTTGCGCTTGGGGGGTCCGCCGAGGTTTCGTCACGTTGCCGCTCGTTGCCACCTCACCACATAGTTTGCGTCACCTAGCTTGCACCAGATAGCTTAGACCAGGTACATTGCACCACATAGCTTACACCACATAGCTTGCGCCACAAAAACTTGCACCACATAACTTACACCACAGAACTAGCACATCCACAGTGCAAGAAGTTACTGTGGGGTCCGCGCTGGCTAGCATCATTATTCCTGGCCCGCTCGAGCACAAAGGTAATAGAGGTATCAGCATCCAGTCCCTGGCCGGAGGGGAGGAGGATGAGGAAAGAGGACTGGACTGGGCTGGAAAGGCACGACCAGACGGCACATCAGCAGACAAACGATTCGCCACAGAAGAGCATGCAGGATTAAGTGCCACGCGAATGCTCCCAGGAAAATAGCCACCAGCTTTCCCAGTGCTGCGTTGTGGAGGACACCACTCGCGGGTCACAGCGTCGAAGCAAAGCTAGCTTGTGCTCGGAAGAAGGGCTGATTGATCAACAGCTTTTTCCTCTGAGACCCAGTCGACAAGGTAGACTTTGACTTCAGAGACAAGCAAGATCAGTCAGCATCTGGTCGGGATATCGGGTCGAATCGGAATGTGCGTGGGATCGGGCTGCACCGGAACGGAGCCGAAATCGACTGGAACGGAGCCGAAATCGACTCGGATCGGCCGCGACAGGATGCACAATAGCGCCGTACCAGCAATGGGACACATCGGATCAACAGAATATCGGAATGGAATCAGATATCGAACCAGCTCGATCGAAACGAAGTGGACCCCGAAGTCCTGCGCTCCTGTATTAAGGCAAGCGGCCAAAAAAATCAAACAGACGCCAAACGCGGATCCAGAACATGGAGTCCACGCTTAAAGAAACGCTCCACATGAATAGCTGTCGCCTCCTCGATCCGAGCACTTCCACCCACCGCCACGCCCCCTGCCCCCCCCCCCCCGGTAAAACCGCGGCAAGGCCGCGCGGCCCGAGTCTCCTGCTTGTGGTCCTGCTTCTCATCCTCCCCCTTCTCCAACGTCCAGCCCCTCGTCGTTCTTGTCAACCTCTTGTCGTCTCCCGAAAATCTACGACTATGCCGCTCTTCGCTGTTCGAACAACCACTCTCATAATGATTACATGCTGGTCAGAAGAAGTACTAGGTAGAAACATGAAGTAGGAAGGCGGATACAGTAGATTGGGTTCGGGCCCGCCCCAAGAATAACAAACAACAGCCAAACCATATCGATTATTGAAGTAGGAAGGCGCTTGAAGTAAGTGGGTTCTGGGAATCCAAAAATACCTACTTCCAACGACAAACAACAGCCAAACCATATCGATTATTGAAGTAGGAAGGCGCTTGAAGTAGAGTGGGTTCTGGGAATCCAAAAATACCTACTTCCAACGACCGATGGGTAACTAGCACGCCTGCAAGCGAAGCCCTGTAGCAAAAACGCGCCCGAGGAAGGAAAGTCAGCCAGGGCAGGGGCTGTGCAGCAGACGCCAACAGCTGCTTTCAGCAGACACCAGATGTGGGGGGAGCGAAGAGGAGCAGGAGGAGGAGGAGCGAGGAGGACGAGGAGGAGAAAGAGCAGGAGGAGTAGGAGGACGAGGAGGACGCGGAGAAGGGGAGAAGGAGAAGGAGGAGGAGGAGGAGGAGGAGGAGGAGGAGGAGGAGGGAGGAGGAGGAGGAGGAGGAGGAGGAGGAGGAGGAGGGAAAGGAGGAGGAGGAGGAGGAGGAGGAGGAGGAGGAGGAGGAGGAGGAGGAGGAGGAGGAGGAGGAGGAGGGAGGAGGAGGAGGAGGAGGAGGAGGAGGAGGAGCGAGGAGGAGGAGGAGGAGGAGCGAGGAGGAGGAGGAGGAGGAGGAGGAGGAGGAGGAGGAGCGAGGAGGAGGAGGAGGAGGAGGAGGAGAAGGCTAGGGCTGTGTATCGGCTCTTGGAGAAGAGCACACCACGACCCGGGCCCCCCTGCGCGACAGGCCCGAGGCGACTCTAGGCCTCGAGGGCTCCAGGCTCGGAGGGCCGAGGATTCCTCCGAGCACGCCCGAGGTGCCACAGCGACGTGGAAAAATCACGACAAGATTTGGTTTGCCGTTTTCGGCCTCCAGAGGCCCTCGCCAGGCCCGGGGACCATCAAAAACCGACTCAAGATGGAAAGCCGGTCCTGGGGAATGGGTCGAGACCTCTGGGGGTCGACGATATGGACAAAATCATGACGTCGGGGGTCTGGGGTGCACGATGCCCAGCAGCAGGTGGTGTCCAAAAGCGACAGCGGCCGCTGCTGGGCGGACGACTTCCCTGTCCCAAGCAGGCAGCGCCCGCGGCAGCACCGACCGCGAGTCCTCTGCAAGGCGGGCAGAGACTGCTGCATGCGTCCACACTCCTTCCGTATCCACCTCGGTCCTCCAGAATTTCTGGCTTGAGGACCGAGGGGGACATCGTGTTGCATGATTCAAGGGACCTTGTCCCATCGCGCCGCCATCGTGTCGAATCCAGGTCGAACTTGTCGGATCCGCGTCGGCTCCATGTCGAATCCGCGTCGGATCCGCATCGAATCAATGTCGAACCTGCCGGATCCGCATCGAATCCACGTCGAATCCGCGTCGAATCCGTGCCACCATGTCGGATCCGCGTCGAGTCCGCGCCGAACACGCGTCGAGTCCGCGCCGAACACGCGTCGGACCACAGAGAAAGGACCGCCACTCACAGGACCGACGAGGCCGCCCGAGGCTGCACCATGAGGGAAGACCACGCCACGGGCTGGGGCCCCTTCTCGGCGGCGCGCCACATGGGGAAGGCAGAGCAGAGGGGGCGGGCCTTCTCGGAGGGCTCAGAAGGCCCCTGCTTCGAAGGCCTCTCAGAAGGCCCGAAGGCTTCTGAGACGCCCCGCCGCCTTGTGGGAAGGCCTGCCCCCCCTTTACGTTGCCCCTCAATCTTCGGGTCAGAACTCGGCTCCCGGGCGGCCGTTCGGTACGATCCGGGCACCCGCACAGAGCCCTCCACGAGGCGCAGCTGCTGGAAAGCACCCCCCTGCCTCCCCCCTACCTCCCCCCTCCCTCCCCCATTCCGCCCTCCCTCCCCCCTCCCCCCTCCCTCCCCCCTTCCCCCCTCCCTCCCTCCTCTGGCACCTGTGCCACTGGGTACCTTCGTGCGCCCGAGGCGGGAGTCGGCCTCGAAAAATGGTCTGGCACTGAGCCTAGGGGTGGGACTTGCCGCGGCGAAGCCCGCGCAGAGCGATCGCTAGGCTTGCGCGCGTGAGGAGCGCGCACACGGGCGCGGAGAAACCTGTATCCACCGAGGGCGAACGCTGCCCGTTCGGCCGCTTCTCTGCCCTTTTTGCGCGCCAATTTGAATATCATTACGTGATGGCAGAAATCCTGGAAATCCCTCCTCCCCTCCCCCTCTTCCTCCCCCTCCCTCCCTCCCCCTCCCCCCCTCCCTCCGCAATTACGCAATATGTATACTACTCATCCTCTCCCCTGGTGACGTCCGGGAAATGGCCGGCCCCTCTCCGCGTACTGTTTTTTTTAACATCGGATTTCCGGGAGACGGGTTTTCGCTTGGGTGTTTTTTCAAAATGCTGCTCTCGCTGAGGCGCTGGCTTCATTTTCGGGCCACCGCTCGTTCCGAATCGTGCTCCCGCTGCAGCGCTGGCCTCATTTCCGCGCTTCCGCTCGTTCCGAACCGTGCTCCTGCTGCAGCGCTGGCGTCATTGTTTCCAGTGCCATGCCACGGCATGGTTTCGGTCCTTCCAAATTGGCCCCAAAATCTAGAAAGTGGCCTCCGGAAGAAACCATCGGAAGTGATTGAACATTCGGTGTCGATTCGTTGATTCTTTGGGCCGCAGAAGCCCCCTCCTTTGGGGCGTCGCCACGCCACGCTACGTCATGCTACGCGTTGATCTTCAACACCATGCTATGCCATGTAATGCTATGCCATGCTACGGTATCCGATTGTGCGAATAGAGAAGAAATCTAAGCCATGATAAAAATGGGAGGGAGGGGCAGAACGTCGGATACGACGCGAGCGCACCTAGCCTGCCCCTCCCCCCTCCCCCCCTCCCCCCTCCCTCCTCCCCCCTCCTCCCCCCCTCTCCCTCCCTCTCTGCTTCCCCCCCCTCGGCGCCGACCCTCGGCCGCGGCCTCGTGGGGCGCGCGCGCGGCGGCCTCGCGGGGGAGGGGGCAGGGACAGGCCAGCACGACGTGCCCCTGCTGGGGACGCACGCACCGCCCGACCGACCCTGCGGACGTGCTGCGGCGGCTTTTTGCGTCGATCTCTGCCAGAGCAGAACCCCGAAACGGCGAGCGAACAACAAAATGAGCTTCACGTGGATTTGTCGCGATCTTCATCCCTGGCGAGAAGAGAGTCCGCACGAAATTCACCTCAACATCCGGAACGAAACTCTCCAGGACAATCCGGGCCCATCCGATTGTTTTCCGAACGAAATCCGCTCTGCGATGCTGGCGCCACGAGAACACGTAACGTGTAGCACAAAATCTTGCAGTATGCCGTCTCCCGGGCGGTGCGGCCGGAAAGCGCCCGCCACGAAGCTCATACTCGAAGGTGTCCGAGATTACGCGTCGCCCTTGCGTGGCCGACGCGCACACGGCACGAGGATGCTTGGGCTCACTGGGCTCACTGAAGGCGAACAGAAATTCACTGAAGGCGCAAACAAAAACACTGAAAGCAAGAAAACGGAAGGCAAAACGCGTCTCCTTCCGTGAAAAAGGCCTTCGGTGAAAAAAACTTCCTTCGCCGAAAACTGCTGACCTTCTGAGGATCCAGCAAGGAGGCTTTGTTTTCGCACGGCATCAGCCAAAAGTGCGCGATTACCACCGTGGCGGGAGACGGAACACCGCAGGGCAGGCCATCAACGCCAAGGACAATGTCATCCGCAGTGAAGTTCCGAGGAACCAGAAAAAAGAAAGAGAGGAACGAATCAACGCCTGCCCGGCGTCAGTTCGGAGACAAGGCAGCACTCTGGTGCCAGCAACAGCACCCCAAACAGCGGGCGACTGCACTTCGGAAGAGAAATCTCTGCTGTGCAAGATATGTGGCGCAAGCCATATCGTGTAAGATACGTGCTGGGAGCCAGGGGGGGTGAAAGCTCGGTGGTGCAAACTATGTCGTGTAATACGCGTGATGTGAGCTGACGCGAGAGCTATGCAGTGCAAGATATGTGGCGCACGCCATGTTGTGAAAGCAATGCGGTGCAAGCGATGTGGTGTAGGCCTTGCCGTGTAAGCTATGGGGTGCAAGCTACGTCGTGCAAGATCAGCATACGAGGCGCCCACGAGCCGACTCGAGCGGCAACGTGGCGCAACCCTGGCCGACCCACCCAGCGCACAGGGCGCCCACGAGCGCCCACGGAGCAGCACGGACGGCAACGTGGCGCAACCTCGGCCCACCCACCCAGCGCCCACGAGGCGGCACGGGCGGCAGTACGGCGCAACCCCGGCCCACCCACCCAGCGCACGGGGCGCCCACGAGCCCCCACGGGGCGCACGGGGCGGCAACTTTGAAAATCCTCTGCAAAAAAAATCCAATTAGCTGTTTAACTAGTATAAATGAGAACCCCATAAGTGCAAGCACTGTCTGGGCAATAACAAGTATGCCAAGAAAACGCCAGTGTGTGATGTGCCCGAGCAGACGCCACGGACACGGGCACCAGCACAGCAGCGAGAGGGTCTGAAGAGGATCCTCCTCAGCCCTCGTCGTGCAAAGCTATAAGCACGCTTCATGTTCACACAGTCTCAATGATGAAATGGGCCGCGATGATTGCTGATTTTCTTTCTCATCCACTACCACCGACTGGTCCAGATCAGCCTCCCGTCTCCATTTCTCCCTCTCTCTCTCTCGCTATGGTTTGCTCTATCTTGCTTTGTTGTGTTGTATATATCTCTATTTCTATACTTCTCTCTCTCTCGCTCTTCTGTCTGTATATATGTATATAAATGCACCTATGTGTATATGTCTCTCGCTTTCTATCTCTCTCTCTCTCTCTCTCTTTCTCTCGGTTTCTCGTTGACCCCTCCCTCTCTATAGCTATTTGTCTATATTTGCTTTGTCTATATCTCTCTCCCTCGATGTATGCATGTGTGTGCTATGGTCTCTCTCTCTTTCTCTCTCTCTCTCTCTCTCTCTCTCTCTCTCTCTTTCTCTCTCTATCTGTCTCTATGTGTATGAATATACATATACATATATATATGTATCTATATATATGTATATGTATGTATATGTGCATATATATATATATATATAAATAGATCGCTCGTGCTTGCGCGCCACAATGAGTCAAACAGACTATTGAGCAGCAGGCTTGTGCGATGATAGGAAGAGCGCCCTCGCAGCACGGGCACTGTTCGCAGCCTCCTCAGGAAGTGTCCACTTCACAGGGGGGCAATTTCGATTGAATGTTGCACAAATGAAAAGCAATGATGGTGCGTTCCAGCGCCACACGCTGGGGATGCTCGTCTGATTCTCCGCTGCAGAGGCCCAGACGAGCAGGAAGCGAGCATGGGGCCAACAATCGCACGTGCCACACCGTGCAAACTGCGTGCCACATGCGTGCGCAATGCACACAGTAAGACATGGAGTCAGATGCGCCAGGAGCCTCACACTGCTGGCAGCCGAAAACGCACGGGCCGCCCGCATTCTTGCCACGAGTGCGCAGGCGACGGCTCGTGGCCCATCCTCCCCGCCCAGGTCTTGAGGAGGGCGGAGTGAGACGCGGGAGAAAACTCAGTCTTGAGCAGCTCTTCGAGCGGCTCCCATTCGATCTGTGCTTGTACGCATGGCCGTGGTTCTGTTGACCAGGAGTTGAGGCGGGCAAGGAAGGTCGAGGGGGGGCGATCAACAAGGAGCGAGGGGACCAGGTGAGAGTGGATATGCTTCTGCATGCGCAAGCGCGCATTCGGGCGGTCAGCCAGCAGGCGAGCTCTTTCCGCGCGCCACTCGTTCAGTGCCTGGCCACGCGCGGAGGCCACCTGCTTGTTCGGGTCGTTCGGGAAGCCGCAAGCTGCCTCCTCCAGAGTAAGGGCTATCGGTGGCGAGCGCCAGTGCGAAGGCGCATGCATGCCCAGCACCTGGACGCAGAAGGGCAATGCCACCGCCGCCGCCTCCTTGAGCTTGGCTGCCCAGCGCGGCCAGTTCTTCACCGAGTCCGCGGCGCTGCGCATCAGGGCAGCCCTGTTGCTGAGCTCGAGCGAGACCGCCTTCAGCGGGGGCGGCCAGTCACCGATGCGTAGGAGATCATCACGTGGTAGCGCCTGAGGAGGGAGGTGCCATATGCGGTGAAGAGCCCAGCTCTCCTTGCGCTTCATCTTGGGCGGCCACAGGAACAGCTGGCTGAGGTAGGAGATCTCGGTTACCGCCCTCTGGTTGTAGAGCATTAGCGAGGTCGAAGTCGGGGCACCCACATCCGCTATCAGATTGGTCGCGCGCTGCCAGCCCCCCACCACTTTCTGCCAGCGCTTGAGGTTGTCTACACACGGGCCCATCAGCACCCCGAGGTATTCAGCCATGTCCGTGATCGTCATGCCGCTCCACTTCGGGACAAGCGCCTCGATCTCGGCGCGCACCCTGTCCACGACCGCCGGCGAGAAGGAGTCCACCAGCGGGATCATCTTGCACTTCGCCGTCTTGAGCACCAGGCGCGCCAAGAGCTCCGCCGCGTAGAAGACACTGAACATGGGGCGCAACATCTTCAGCGCAGGCATAACGCTGCCCACATCATCCGCGCAGACGCCGATGACAGCGCCCTTGTAGGAGCTCGCGCGGGAATGCATGCCCCTGATCAGCGGGTCCACGCCGACGGCCCATAGAGCGCCCGACCACGGACACCCCTGGAGGATACCCGAGGCCAGCGCGCAGAACACCTCAAACGCACCTCCAAGGTTGGTGAAGGCAACGGGCATGAGGTAGATCGCGTCGACCATGTCGCGGATGCCCTGCGGGAAACCTGCGATCTCCAGCGCAGCGTTCAGCCAAACCCTGCACATGGAGGGGAACGCGTCGCCGAAGTCGTAGAGTACCAGGAGCGGGTCCTCCTCCACGGGGTCCGACTGCACGGCCACGATGCGGGCCTGCGCGTCCATCGCCACCACGTGCTCAATGAAGCGCCTCTGCGGCAAGAAGCCCTTCTGCGCCTTGTGTGCTCCCTTGGCCACGATCGGCTTCATCAGCTCATTCCCCATGGCCGCGACGATCTTGCAGTCCGTGTTCTTCATAGAGAGGGGACGAGTTGCCTTCGCCATCCTCGTCGCCCCAAGCTCGTCAGCGGGCTCCGACCCCTTCGGGGTGAAGATCATCAGCGAGTCATTGAAGGTGAGTGGGACAGGGAAGCCCTGCACGATCTCGATGGCGACGTCGAGCATGAGCTGCGCCGACGAGGGGATCCGCTTCCATGCCATGTAGGGGATCCCGTCAGGCCCAGGCGCCGAGTTGTTGAGCCTGCTGATCAGTTGCTCCATCTTACCCAGAGTGGGAATGTCCATGTCCGCGCAGTCATACGGGACGATATGTTTCTCGAGGTAGCGCTTAACGTGGATGAGGTGGCTCGGCTTCGCCTGAAAGACTGGGGACCACTGCCGACGGAGCTCCTCGATCATGGCCGCAGGCGATTCCGTCGAGCTGTGGTCGTGCATCACCTCGATAGCCTTGAGCTTGAGGGTCTCGCCCGTTGGGGCCCAGAGCTTGCCACGCTTCTGGATCGCCTTCCTCATCTTGCGGAGCCGCTGGCGCTGCTGGAAGGGCGTGTCAGCAGCAGATCCCTCCTGCAGAAGGGCCTCAGTGCGCTGGTTGTGGTACGATTTCTGGCGCTGCTCGAAGACGCGGCGAAACGTGCCAGGCTCGATCAGCGCGATGTTGTTCGGGTCAGCGATGTCCAGAAACTGGTCGCCGAGCTCAGCGCGCGCCTTAAGCGTGCGAGCGCTCTGCCAGTCATTTCGCCATACCGCCCTCGAGATCGCCCTGCAAGTGGCAAGGGCTGCCGCCGAGCACGGTGCATGCATGTCCGTCAGGTCGTTGCGAGTAAGTCGCGCCGCCCCGCGGATCAGGCGCATGACCTCCTGGAGGCGCACAAAGGGCGTGTAGCTGCCCAGGTCGGCATGGCCGACCAGCAGGTCGCAGTACTGGATGAAGAGAGGGTGCTCGAAGATATACTGCGGAATCGGCTGTGGCCCGCGGTCTTCACGAGCGCGGGCTGAGAGGCGTAGGTGCACTCGGGCATGGTCCGATATGCCCTCATCATATAGCATGTCAGGTGCCATGGGGACGTCGACCTTCGCGCGCCATTGCGTCAAGAGCCACGGCGGCAAGCTGGCATAGATCTTGTCGATGCGCGTGCACTGCTGGGAGTGCTCAGCGTTGTGCGCGGGGAGCTCGGGGCCCACCTCGATCGCGTCGCCGAGCGCCTGCTCCCAGAGAAGCTGATGTTCTGGATGGACGTTGCGCAGCCTCGATAGCCCCTCGTTGACGAGCGGGGCCGCCATCTCCAGCGGGGCCTCATCCATAAAGTTGAAGTCGCCCATGACCATGACTGCGATGCGCTCGGGCTGCTGCTCTGCGACGCTGAGCTCCGCCCTGATTGCGCCCACCGCGCGCTGGACTTGATCCTGCGCGAGCTGGAAGTTGCGAACGTTGTAGATTACCACCATGGACGGTTGAGTGCCCTCGGGTGCACCAGTGAGATCCGACTTGATCTGGAGGCGTTGTACGCGGCCAGGCACGGGTGCCGAGTGACGGAATCGGTCAGAATCATCCGCGTCCTCTTGCACGAGTCCAGGGGGCACAATCGCCACGCCTCCCGTGCCACGCACAGGGATGGAGGTGAAGGTGGCCGCGGGCTTGTGGCCGAGGTGTAGGGCGTGGGCGAGCCCCGACTCAGAGCCGTGAACCTCCTGCAGGGCCAGCACCGACGTGGAGTTGAGTACCTGCAGCATGTGGGTGGCCTTCTTTTCGCGCTTGATCGGGTCTTGGCAGAGGAGCGCTCGCGTGTTCCAGGTAGTGGAAGTGATGGCGCCAATAGACTGTGCCCTGCGCCAGGGGGCCAGCGTCTTATTAAATCTGCCACTGTACGTTCTGCGCGTCCAAAAATGTTTGGAAGAACTCTTCGAATTTCGCTCGGACGTCCTCCCTGTTGATGCCGTGCGTGAGGCAACCCTGGTAGTTGAAGAGTAAGGTGGTCGGTTCTTCCGTTGTGGATCCCACGGAGATGGAGAGGATGGGCAGGTCGCTGCAATAGATGATCCCTTGTTGGCGGTCGCCTCGCCAGCGCTTCGTGTCATGCTGGGTATTGCAGAACTGGGTGAGCGCATTGGTCTGCAACTCTCGCCTCGCTGTCTTGCCACTGCGGTCGAGGCCGAGGAAGAGACGCGTGCGCTGACCGTGTACGCTGTTGACTAACGCGTTGAGCCACTCGCCGTCGGCGCCCTTGCGTTTGCTGTAGAAGGTGCGGACACGTCGAGCGGATGCGTTCGCGTCGCCGCTGAACTGGATGATGAATCGTCGTGCAGGACTCGTGCCCACTGCCTCCCATCCGGCATCGCCGAACCCGCACCTGTCGATGATGGGCTGGATGCTGGCCTTGAATTCGTCGAGCGAGAAGTTCTCCGCAGTCGTGCCCACGATGATGCTGGTGTCTGCTGGTCGGTCCCATTCGATGAGGTTCTCGTAGTCCTTGATGGGGAGATGTGCCTCCTGCATGTATATATAGCCGCTGTCGCATTTCAGCAATTTGAGTACGCAGTTCTGCTTGCTCCGCCTCGAGCTTCGATGGCGTAGCCTGGAGTGACTGGATCTGGCCCGTGAACTGCGCGTTCCGTTGTTGCTGCTGACCGACCACCGCGCCGAGGGGGCCTTTGAGCTGGTTTGCGAACTCGCCGATGATCTCTGCTTTGATCGAGGCCAGCTTCGAATCGAGCTGAGCTGTGAGGAAGTCCTGCGAGACTGCAATGGCGGCGTTGACGGCGTCCATGGGGTCCACGATCTCGGAGGAGGCTGAGGCATTGGAAGCTGAGGCGTGGGAGGCATCAGCACGAGGCCTCTTGGCTCCTTCGGCAACAGCACGGGATACAGAGGTCGACTCTCTCCAGGGGTCGTGTTGATGGACAGCATCTGGTTGTCGGTCGCCAGCACCATTCGCTCCAGCACCAGCGGGTTGGAGAGGAACAGAAGGGCGACCACCACCAGCAGTTCCACTATGAGCCGCCATTCGCGTTGAGAACTGGCTGCCTGGGGCGGACCAGGACTTGAGATATGGATGCCAGGGGAGAACCTGGATTTTTTGATATGGATGCCAGGGGCATATATATATAACCATACACACATATGCATGTACATATATACATGTGTATATCCCTAACTCGTTGTCTCTCTCTCTCTCTCTTTCTCCTTCTTTCTTTCTCTCTCTCTCTCTCTCTCTCTCTCTCTCTCTCTCTTTCTCTCTCTTTCTCTCTCTCTCTCTCTCTCTCTCTCTCTCTCTCTCTCTCTCTCTCTCTCTCTCTCTCTCTATATATATATATATATATATATATATATATATCGCTCAAACTTCCCTCGTCGCTGCTGTAGGTATCTGTGCTATTCACCAAAGCAGCCATTTGGCCTCCGGCTCCTCTGGTACAACGTCAAACGGGTCGTAATCGTCCTCGCTTTCTGCACCAGCGTCTCTTTGCTCCTGGTGGACACTAGGATACGAGGAGCAGCAAGAGGAAGCAGGACAACGGGGATGAACTTCGAATGACGGCAGTTCCTTGAAACACGCCTGGCGACATGTGTGGAAACGATGCCCACGCCTTCGAAGCGTGGTTGACGCCTTTTTTGAATCAGTGTACCATTTCCCTGGCTGTACCTCGTTCGCATCCCCGCGAACCCTCGGACCAGAAATCCGAACGTCGCATCGATATATCAGAATGAGGGAGCTGAACCGAACGGTCATTCACTGTCCCTGGGTGCGTGGCTGAACTGGAATTCTGCGATGCGGATTTTTGTTGCTGTTGTTGAACTCTCACTCCTGAAGAATAATTATTGTTGATCCCCCCCGTCCGGTGCACATTGTTTTTTCGATTGAAGTGCCCTTCCCAGGGCTCGCACCCTGCTTTTATCAGGGAAAGTCTTGAGCGTCAAACTGTATCGTTGGCCCCCGGTTTACAACAACAACAACAACAACAACAACAACAACAACAACAACAACAACAACAACGACAACGGCTCCCGCCTGAGACCTCCTCACAATTTAGCCAGGACCCCCGCTCCCGCCCGAGACTTCCTCGCGCTTTATTCAAGAATCGCGCTCTCGCTTGGGACTTCCTTGTTCTCCCAGCGCTCTGGAGTCGCAATCTCGCTGGATTCGCTTCCAATTTACTGAAAAATAGCGCCCTTTGCGTTGGAATTTCCTGCAATTTACTCAAGCGCCGCGCTCCCGACACCCAGGCACCCAGGAGTCGCGCTCACGCTCAGGACTCCCTCACAGATTACATAGGAATCGGGATATCGTTGCCCTTCGTGGCCCCGTTGCAGCCCTTCGTGGCCCCCTCGCTTCGTTTCGTGGCCCCGTTGCAGCCCTTCGTGGCCCCCTCGCTGCCCTTCGTGGCCCCGTTGCAGCCCCTCGTGGCCTCCTCGCTGCCTTTTGTGGCCCCGTTGCAATCCTTCGTGGCCCCCTCGCTTTGTTTCGTGGCCCCGTTGCAGCCCTTCGTGGCCCCATCGCTGTCCTTCGCGGCCCCGTCGCAGCCCTTCGTGGCCCCGTTGCAGCCCTTCGTGGCCCCCTCGCTGCCCTTCGTGGCCCCGTTGCATCCCTTCGTGGCCCCCTCGTTGCCTGTCGTGGCCCCATATATGTATGCCCTTCGTGGCCCCCACTCGTTCGCGCCAGTGGCGGCCCCATGTGCATATGTCCTACGTGGCCCAGTTGCTACCCTCAGTGGCCCTATCGTTGCCTTCTGTGGCCCCGCATTATCTGCCCGTCGTGGCCCCCGCTCGTTCGCGCTCTTCGTGGCCCCATACGCATTCCCTTCGTGTCCCCGCTGTTGCCCTTCGCGGCTTACTTCGTGTCCTTGTGGCTTTGCTGTCGTTCTCTTTCACTATCGCTTTCGTTCGTCGCCATCATCGTCGACGTCGTCGTCGCCGTCGTCGTCGACGTCGTCGTCGTGGTCGGTCCCCTGTCCGTCCCTCTTGGGGTCGGGTCGACGGTCCGCGGCCGCCCCGCCGATCAGCGCTGCCGCTGGCCAGGCCGACGGTCCGCGGCCGCCCCGCCGCTTGCCGGGGCCCGGCCTGCAGGGAAGAAAGGTATACCCCCCAAAAAGGGTTCGATCGAAGACGAAGAGGGCGGGCATCGAAGGTTTAGGAAATAGGCGTTATTGGACACTCGAGCAAATAAGGGCGAACAGTCTAAAAATGATTGTTGCTGTTGGTGGTGTTGGTGTTGGTGTTGGTGTTGGTGTTGTTGTTGGTGGTGATGATGTTGTTGTTGTTGGTGGTGTTGTTGTTGTTATTGTTGTTGTTGGTGGTGGTGGTGTTGTTGTTGTTGGTGTTGTTGGTGGTGTTGGTGTTGTTGTTGGTGTTGATGTTGTTGATGTTGTTGGTGTTGTTGTTGGTTTTGTGTTTGATGTTGTTGTTGTTGTGGTTGGTTTTGTTGTTGTTGTTGGTGGTGGTGTTGTTGTTGGTGGTGGTGTTGTTGGTGTTGTTGTTGTTGTCATTGTTGTTGTTGGTGTTGTTGGTGTTATTGTTGTTGTTTGTTGTCGCCGCCCCACCCGCGACCCGCCCCGCGACCCACCCGCGACCCACCCCGCGACCCACCCGCGACCCACCCGCGACCCACCCCGCGACCCACCCGCGACCCACCCGCGACCCACCGCGACCCACCCCCACCGCGACCCACCCCGCGACCCACCCGCGGCGACCCGCGACCCACCCGCGAACGCCGCGACCCGCCCGCGACCCACCCGAGACCCGCGACCCCCCCGCGAACCGCCGGCAACCCACCCGCGACCCACCCGCGACCCACCCGCGACCCACCCGCGACCCACCCGCGACCCACCCCGCGACCCACCCAAAATTTTCGGCGCATGCGGCGGGTTTTTTTCCATTCGTTCCAGTGGAAAACGTGCGACCCACCCGCGACCCAAACCGCGCCCGCGACCCACCCGCGACCAACTGCAACCCACCCGCGACCCACCCGCGACCCACCCCGCAACCCACCCAAAAATTTCGGCGCCTGCGGCGGGTTTCTTTTACATTCGTTCCAGGTAAAGAACCTGCGGCCCACCCGCGACCCAAACCGCGTTCAGTGTACAAATCAAAAGTTTTGGCGCATGCGGCGGGCTGTTTTTGAATTCCGTCCAAGTGGAGGTGGGGAGCCCGCGACCCACCCGCGACCCAAACTACGCTCACTGAAAAAACAAAACTTCGGCGCCTGCGGCGGGTTTCTTTGGCATTCGCTCCAGGTGGAGAACCTGCGACCCAAACCGCGCTCACTGTACAAATGAATGTTTCGGCGCCGCTGTTTTTGAAATCCTCCCAGGTGGAGGTGGAGAGCCCGCGACCCACCCGCGACCCAAACTACGTTCACTGAACACAAGCCAAAAATAAGGCGCCTGCGGCGGGCTGTTTTTGCATTCGTTCCGGGTGGCCCACCAGCGATCCCCCCCGCGCTGAACTTGTCAGAACACGCAAATCGGCGCCTGCGGCGGGTTTGCTCGCACTGGTTTGGGAAAGCGCCCTCGTGCCATTCCCCCGACCCGGCCCACGTTGAGTCTAGCACATCGGCGCCGGCGCCGGGGCTGTGCGTGAACACGTTCATTGACAATCCAGTTGCCTGCTGCCGCGGAAGAGGGAGAAGGAGCAGGGCGAGGAGCAGAAGGAGGAAGACGGCGACGACGACGACGACGACGACGACGACGACGACGACGACGACGAGTACGAGGACGAAGAGGAGGCCGACGACGAGGGCGAGGAGGAAAAGGAAAGGGGGACGCACGGGGACGACGAGAAAGGAGGGAGGAGGAGGGGGAGGAGGGGGACGACGACGACGGAAAGGAGGAGGGGGGAGGATCGGGATGGGGGAGGAAGAGAAGGAGGAGGAGGAGGAGGAGGAGGAAGAGGAGGAGGAGGAGGAGGAGGAGAAGGAAAAGGAGGAAGAGGAGGAGGAGGTGGAGGAGGAGGAGGCGGACGACGACGACGACGACGATGAGGACGAGGACGCGGACGAGGAAAAGGAGGAGGAGGAGGAGGAGGGCGCCATTGACAGGGAAGGTGAGGGCCACTGAGGTCCGCCGGCGCCCGCGCCTTCACTCTTATCCGCAATTGCGGGGTGCTACGTAAATTCGTTTCGGAACGATGCAACGCCAGATTGGAAACACCTGCTCTACCGCATGTGCACACAGCGGCTAACACGGGTTTGCCTGGCAATGACGCCGAGACAAGACGGCGATCCAAAGCACCACGAGATTGGGCCGCATCAAGACGACCACAGCCAAGCAAACGCACAGGCAGCGCAACCGAGGCACCAACCCTCGACGCGACGACGGCACACAGGCAGACAGACCGACAGATAGACAGACGGGCGGACAGACAGACAGACACACAGGCAGGCAGATAGACAGACAGACGGACGGACAGACAGAATGACTGACAGACAGGCAGGCAGGCAGACAGACAGACAGACAGACAGACGCTCGGCTTCCCACGTTGCCGGGGCGCCCCCCAGCCGCGCCCGGGGAACGAGGGGCATGACGCGGAGAAGAGTTGAAGCGCCGCTGGGCGCCCAGGCAGAGGAGGAGCGGGAGGAGGAGGAGGAGGAGGAGGAGGAGGAGGAGGAGGAGGAGGAGGAGGAAGAGGAGGAGGAGGAGGAGGAGGAGGAGGGGGAGGAGGAGGAGGAGGAGGAGGAGGAGGAGGAGGAGGAGGAGGAAGAGGAAAAGGAGGAGGAGGAGGAGGAGGAGGAGGAGGCTGCTCGTCGCCCTCAGGGGCGGCGGCGCAAGCCCGCGGCAGAGCGGCGCTGTAGCCCCCGCGTCGCCGCGACGCGCCGGCCTGCTGTTTCGCCGTCGCCAGCAATCAGGGGGGCCAGCGCGGGCCAGCAGGGGCGCGCGGCCGGCGCCCCCAGCGCCGCGGCGCGCTGCCGGCGCCTCAGCGCAGGCCCCGGCGCGCAGCTGCCGCGCCAGCTCCCCCTGCGGGCCGCAGGCGAGCGCGCGGTGGGCGCGCGCGAGCTCGCGGGCCTGCCCGGCGTCGGGCAGGCGGCGCACCCCAGGCGCGCTTCAGCGCCCAGTCGCCCCCCCGCCTGGAGGACGAAAGGGGTGAGGCGCTCTCTGGGGCAGCGAGCGCGCTTGTCCCGCTCCCCGCGCCGGCTCGCCTCGCCGTCGCGGCGGGCCGCGACCCGCTGCTCCGCCAGGGTGCCCGCGTCGGGGTGTCGCGCGGACGCGTCCAGCCAGCGGCGGCCGTCCTCGCCCTGGCACTCCAAATCGAGAACGGCGCGCTCCGCCCCCCCGGCGCGGCCCAGCCGCGGCCCGTCCCAGAGCGGGACGCGCTGCTCGTAGAGCGGCCCCTCGTGCCTCCAGCGCCAGAGCAGCCCGCCGAGCCGCCTGGCCAGTCTCAGTCTGCCGCGCCCGCGCACCACCCCGCCTCCGTTCTGGCAGGTGGCGCTGTGGTAGCCGAGGTCGTCCAGTGGCCGTCCGCAGACGTCGCCGCTGGCGCTCCGCAGACAGCAGTGGGCCGTCGCCGACGCGAGCTGGCCCCAGCCGCACTCCGGCCGGCGGAGGTGCAGCCGTAATTAAGCGAGCCGCCGCCTCCCAGCGCGCGTCTTCAAGCGCGCAGAGCACCTCGGCGGGGCAGCGCCTGGCCCCGCTTGCCCTCGCAGAGTGGCTCGTTGGACAAGGGGCAAACCTTGCGGGAGCGCAGCGCTGCGTTTCTTTTGCACCTTCTCCATAGCCAAGCCCTGCTTGAGCTCGTGAGCCAAGAAGTCAGCCAGCGCCCCGCCGTCCGCCAGCAGCAGCCCCTGCCGGGCTAGGCCCTGTCTCGCTTCCTCCAGCTTGCTCGCGGCAGCTGGCAGGCGCTCGAGGGCGTCGCGCAACAAGCGGCAGTCCAGGCCCCTCGCAACCTCGGCGGCCGCGCCAGACCAGGACGCGAGAAAGGCAGCGTTCCACCGCGAGCAGGCCAGCTGCGCCCCGAGGCCGCCTAATCAGGCGCTCGGGCAGGCCAAGCAACTCCTTGGCGTCGTTGCCAAGATCGCGCCACAGTAGCGTCTCCCAGCAGCCCGCCAGCTGGGCGTCGTAGCGTCGAGTGGCCTCTTCGCTAGCCAGCTCCTGCCGCAGGGCGCGCTGGCTGGCGGCGCCGGCGTAGGTTTGCAGCAAGGCCGCGGCAGCCTGCTTCTTCAGGCCTGCCTGGTGGAGCCGGTAGAGCGTGTCCCAGAGCTGCCGCTGCCGCAAAGCCGCCTTGTCGAGGCCGTCGGCGCGCGCCCCGAGGGCCGCGGGGTTGTCCTTTGAGTCTCCCCGCGGCCTGAGGTGCTTGCCAAGCACTGGGAGAACGGCCACGTAGCGGGGTTGCAGCGCAGGCGGCACTACCGCGATCCCGCGCGGGGACCACACCGCGGTCTTGGCGCGGTTGAGTTCCAGGCCGTAGGGTTCCAGGGCTGTCTCCAGTGCAGCGAGGACGTTCGGAGAGAGGTGCAGCGCCCCGCCAGCGTCCCTCCAGTAGTGGCCCACTGGGCCTCCGTACCAGGTGGACAGGGCGGCAGCCACAGCAGGGTCGTGCCTCGCCATCGCTGCGGTGGCAGGTTGGCGTCTCAGTCTCTGGAAAGCCGCCTTCAGGTCTAGCTTCAGGAAAACAGCTGTGGGTCTGGCCTCAGCCTGTGCCTCCAGACACCGCAGTAGCAGGTCCGCGCCCTTCTGTCTCCCCACGCCGTACTGGTGCTCGCCAGCAGCGGTCGCCAGCTGCTCCTTTCGCACTCGGACCAGCGCCCGCAGGCCGAGCCGCCGCCGCCAGGCCGAGCTCACCAGCAGAGGCCGGACCTCGTCCCCCCCTTTGTCGAGGGCGATGACCTCGCCGACCCGCAAGGCCTGCAGCGCCCCAGCAGGAAGAAGGCCAAAGGTCACCCAGGATACCGCCCCTGAGAGGAGCTGCAGCGTCTCCTTGCTGGCGGCTGCTGTCTCCAAGAGTTCCAGCCTCGTTCCGAGCAGACCAGGTGCGGTGAGCCAGGCTGGTCACCGCAGGAGCTGCCGGATCTGCTCCTGCACCGCCTCTAGCAGCTCGTCGTCCGGAGCTTCGCGGGCGGCCGGCGCGGCCGGCATGGCAGCGTCCACGGGGAAGCAGTCGAGGACCTTATGTAAGGTCTCAGGCGTTCGCGGGGCGAACTTCGCAGTGGTGGCTGCCGTCAGCGAACGTCCCTCTTCCCCAGAAGCGGCGAGGGTGTGGACCCGTGCAGCTCGCTGTTTGTCGGTCTGACTGACTGACTGACAGACCGAGAGACCGAGAGACTGACTGCCTGACTCATTGACTGCTGACTGACTGGCTGACTGCCAGACTGCTGGCGCCCAACCCTGGGAGAAATCCCGCACCGGGACTTTCCCCGGGGGGCAGGAATTGCCCGCCACCGAACCGACGCCCCAGCAGTGCGGCGCCCGATGCGCGCCGCCCTCCAGCCCCTGGCCAACGCAGGCGCTGGCCGCCCGAGGCGCCGGTCGCGCCGCGCCAGCAGCCCGCCGAGCACCTGGCACCCCTTAGTTAAAGAAAATTGGAAAGCCCCGGTGCACGCCGGAGGCGCTTCCCGTCATCCGCCGACCCCTTGTGGGTCTCTAGGCGTGTGAAATGATCCCGCCCCATAATCCCCCCCCCCACGGACCCCAAACCAGCAATTTGACCCCCCCCCTGGCCCGGCGCGACCCCGGACCGAACGCGTCATGGGGGAGCGGCGGGCTCCAAAACGGGCCAAGAAGGCACCAAAACGCCCCCCAGACGGTCCCAGAGGGCCACGAGTCGCCGCAATATCGCTCCTTGACGCACACGATGGCCTCCAGACGGCCTCCGAAGCTGCCAAGACGCCCCAAAAGGCCAAAAAAATGCATCCAAAGAGGGTCCCAAGAAACAGAAATCGTCCCATTCCCTTCGAAAAAAACAACATGATTCGCATACTCGCCTTTTCGGCTTTCACAACTTCCAAGACAGGCAAAGAAACCTTCAATATCACCCCCGGACGGCCGTAGGGGCCCCCAAGAGGCGTCGAAGAGTAGCCAAAAACAGCCCACGAAGCCCCCAAGACAGCCCAAGAGGGCCCCCGGACGGCTCCAAGAGGGAGTCCAAAGGGCACCTTTTCGAGCCTTCGGCCCCAAGACGCCCCCAGCCTGCCCCAAGAACACCCCAAGAGGCCTTGAGGGACCCCCAAGAAAACCTCAAAGGCAGCCTCCAGGAAGCCCCCAAGAGGCCCCAAAATTTGGCCAAAGATGCTTCGAGGCGGCCGGATATGGATATGGCCTGCAGACAGGCCAAGATGCCACCAAAAGGCCACAAAAGCGCACCACAGGAACGATATCGAGCGCCGTGTCATGATTCGAACAAGCCTCGTGAAATGCAGTCCTGGAGGCGCAATAGTTTGTACCGGGGTCGCGGATGTGGCGTAAGCCTATAGAATCTGCCCAGCTACCCACACGCCCTTCGGAGCAACTTGCCACGTTCGCCTCTGACCAAATTCCTGAAAAATGCTCTTGTCGTGCCCAGCCTCAGCAGCAATGGAACAAGGACGAAGGAGAGAGGAGGGACATAAAAACAATGACGAGGGAGGAGACAAGGGGCAGGGGACGAGAGAGGCTGAGAGGGGATCGGGGGGGATGAGGGGGGATGAGGGGGGAGGGATGCTGGGGAGGAAGCAGAGGCAAGGGGTAGGGGCAGCGCGAAGGCTGGTGTCACGTGGCAGCGGGAAAGCGACACAAAGGGAGAAGGGGGTCGGAAAGAAACGGGTCTTACGCGAGATGGCATGGCGACCTTACGCGGTGGCTTACGCGGGCCGCCAGCGCGGCAAGCTGCAGTGTAAACGAGGGCGCTTACGCGCGACCTTACACGGTAGCTCATGTGCGAGAGTCGGCGCAGTCGACCCCGTTTTCTTCCGTCGCGCAAAATGGAGGGCGGGAAGGGCCAGAAGCGTCCTCCGCGGCTTCCTCGTCGCTGTCGGCTACCACAGCGACGGCCACCTCGGCAAAAGGTTGCACCCCAAAAGGAGGTGGCGAGAAACCCCGTGCCGATTGGAACAAGCCTGCTCCCGCTGCTGCTCCAATTATACTCCAACCACGACGCTGCTTACCGAGACGCGGAAACTCTGCGAAGCGTCGGGGGCAGAGGCCGTCACGTACGCGCGCGCGCGCTCTCCCAACAGATCCGCCGAAAGCCTGCCTGCAAACTGGGTATACGCTCGCAGTCAGGCCCAGCGCGCGTGTGAAAATATGGCGCCTGCTCCACACAAATACAGCCCGAGCCAGAATGCGGAAGTGCCTCTCACAATGATCAAGCCGTCAAATAGGTCTCCGTCGCGGGACACCTGCACGGATGCCGAGAGCGCACTTTTCACGAATACACGAGCTCACTTGGCCAGCGCCAGCTATGCCCCCTATCTTCATGCATTGCCGCTTGCGCGGGTTGTAGGGCGGGCAACCGTGGTGGCAATCTCACGAGGTGTCTTGACGAAAGCCCGCTGGCCATCGCGCTGTCGCGGCGACTGTCCGCACGTTCTGTTTGCGTAGTCCAGCCCGGCCTCAGAGGGCAATCCCACGCGGGTTCTCGATCGTGGCGCTACTGCCGCATCACATGCTTTCTCGTTCCTCGTCTTGGCCGCTCCCCCGTGTGCATGCTCGGACGTCATTGGCTGCACTCTCCATGGCGATTGTCGACGCGGGGGGGGGGGCACACCACACAGGCAGCATGGACCAGCGACCATGCCAGTGACATGGGCCACGCGGCATGCGTGGCTGCTTCTCGAGGTTCGCTGCAGGCAGAAAGAGCAACAACAGCAGCGAGATCAGCGAAAGGTAATTTCCCTGCTGCAACCTGACGCAGATTATTCGGCCAGTTGGGTCCCACCGAATGAGGACTCCCTCGCCTTGGTGAAGGTGATTCCGCCTGCGATGGGATCAGCCGACGGCCGAGCGTGTGCCGTTCATTATGTTGACACTAAGCCCACTGGTAACCCGCAGCATTACAGAAGGATCTCGTCCCAGCGAGCATATTGTGCCTAGTGTGCTGTGGCAGATCAACACACTGAGCGTTGTTATGTGCAGCAATGTGTGTGTGCCGTGTCTTTCTCTCTCTCTCTCTTCCTCTCTCTCTCTCTATCACCCTCTGTTTCTCTCTCTCTCTCTCTCTCTTTCATTATCTCATTCTCTCTCTCTCTCTCTCGCTCGCTCGCTCTCTCTCTCTCTCTCTCTCTCTCTCTATATATATGTATGTTTCTCTCTCTCTCTCTATCTCTCTCTCTCTCTCTCTCTCTCTCTCTCTATATATCGATCTTTTTTGGGAAGAGGAGGAGAGCACGGCCACAAGAACTCCCGCAGCGCGGCAGCCACCACAGCGCGAGACAATTCAACCGCAGCGTGAAGACTAGGAACGAATTAAGAACTGCACAGTTGTCCTCCCCAAGCGCACGCCGCAACGCGTGCATCGACCTTGTCCGGCAGAGCCCCCCGGGTCAAGCAAAATGCTGTATGCGGGGACGGGATGCCGCGGGGGCAAAAATCCAGAACCTAAGCCGAGGGAGAGGAGGAAGGAACCACCCTACACGACCACCCTTCGGGTGATAAGGAGGTTGTGGGGGGGGGGAGAGGGGAGAGAACCAACATCTGACTCAATCGATCTCACTATCGATCTCACTCAACGGGACACCACGGGACACCACGTGACACCACGGAAATCTTGTCGATCTCACTATCGATCTCACTATCGATCTCACTCAACGGCACACCACGGGACACCACGGGCCACCACGGGACACCACGGGACACCGCGGGACACCTCTCGATCTCACTATCGCTCTCACTATCGATCTCACTATTGATCTCACTCAACGGGACACCATGCGACACCACGGGACACCACGGGACACCACGGGATCTCACTATCGATCTCACTATCGATCTCACTATCGATCTCACTCAACGGGACACCACGGGACACCACGGGACACCTGTCGATCTCACTTTCGATCTCACTGTCGATCTCACTTTTTGGGACACCACGGAACAGCACGGGACACCTCGGGGCACCACATCGATCTCAGTATCGATCTCACTATCGATCTTACTATCGATTTTACTCAAACGGGACACCACGGGACACCACGGGACACCACGGGACACCTGTCGATCTCACAATGAATCTCACTATCGATCTCACTTTTTGGGGCACCACGGGACACCACAGGACACCTCGGGGCACCACATCGATCTCAGCATCGATCTCACTATCGATCTCACTATCGATCTCACTATCGATCTCGCTATCGATCTCACTATCGATCTCACTCAACGGGACACCACGGGACACCACAGGACACCACATCGATCTCACTATCGATCTCACTATCGGTCTCACTATCGATCTCACTCCACGGGACACCACGGGACACCACGGGACACCCGGGACACCGCCCGGCCGAACTGGGACACCTCCCGGCCACCGGCGGACGGGAAACGGACTTTCGCTCCTACTGACACCCGGGACACCCAGGACACCGCCCGGCCCAACTGGGACACCTCCCAGCTACCGGCGGACGGGAACGAACTTTCGCTCCTACTTCGGCCTAGCTACAGGAGGATCACGCGCAGCTTCGCCTCGCCCGCACGCACGCACGACACGAACACGAAACCGAAACCGATTTCCCGGTGGGGGGTCTCCGTTTCACTGCGATTTCACCCCCCAACCTCCGATCTATCTGTACATAAATATATCGATCTATTGATCTGTACACAAATCTCTCACTCTCTCCATATGCACACCAGCCCATCCATGCGTATACGCATATACATGTCACCCTCTATTTGACCCTGGCTCTGCAACATCTCCGTCGCCAACAAACCCACCCGTGTGAATGCTCTAACCCTCGCATTTGAATGGAGTACGTTGTGTACACAGCGTGTGCAAATGCTCAGGCTCTCCGACAGGAGCCTATGATTCCCCACATCTGAAGTGGGGCTCTCATTCTCTCTGAACATCCCGCGCAGGAGAAAAAGAATATCACCCCCTTTCTCCTCCTCCCATCACCCTCCCACCACCGCCACCACCATCATCGTCGTCATCAGCATCACCATCATCGTCACCATTGTCAGCATCACCATCATCACCATCATCACTATCACCACGATCATCAAATCATCATCAGCAGCAGCATCATCATCATCATCGGCATCAGCATCAGCATCATCATCATCATCATCATCAGCAGCATCATCATTACCACCACCACCATCCTCATCAGAATCATAATCGTCAACATGAGAATCATCATCATCATCAGCAGCAGCATCATTATCATCAGAATCATCAGCATCATCATCATGAGCAGCATCATCAGCATCATCAGAATCGTCGTCGTCACCATCATCATCGTCATCATCGCCGTCGTCGTCGACACCATCATCATCAGCATTATCATTATCACCACCATCACCATCACCATCACCATCATCATCAGAATCATCAGCAGTATCATCAGCATCATCAGCATCATCAGCATCATCAGCATCATCCTCTCATCATCAGCATCATCATGATCATCATCATCGTCATCATCACCACCTAAACCACCATCAGCAGCAGCAGCATCGTTATCATTACCGCACACACTCGCTCACACACTCGCACACTCATCTTGAGTAAGTCTCGAGCGGCAGCCTCTTCTGTGAGTGAATCACGAGGGAGTCTCGAGCGGGAACCCCTCCCTATGGGGTCCCCACCTCCATGTTCGAATCCGAGGCGGCAATCGGAAAAGCCTGTATAAACACAGGTTTGGTGACACCTGGGAGCCAGAACCCCGAGGAGGTCTCGAGCGGGAGCTTCGTTCCTGAGCAAACTAACAAGATGTCTCGAGCGGGAGCCTTGTCTGTGTGAGAATTGCGAGGATGTCGTAAGCAGGAGCCCCCTCTTTACGGGGTCCCCTCCTCATGTTGGTAATCTGAGGCGGCCACCGGGATGATGGGAGCATGAATCCCGAAGCAGTCTCGAGCGGGAGCCTCGTTCCTGAACAAATTGAAAGGATATCTCGGGCGCTCGCCTGAGAGTGTATCGCAAGGAAGTCTCGAACGGGAGCCCTTCCCTATGGGCCACCTGCTCTATGTTATGAATCCAAGGCGGCCATCTGGATTCCCTATGAAATCACCGGTGTGATGACACCTGGGAGACTGAATCTTGAGAAAATCTCGAGAAGGATCCTCGTTCCTTTATCCAGCGCCCTTTGTAATCCGATGCGGCCATCCTCAATCAAGGTCGTAAGCGTCGCCAAGGACCAGCACATGCCAGACAGAACGAGAGCCTCCGTAGTCACGAGGGCGACGATTAGGATCATTTCCAGGCGAATTCGTTTGTAAGATACTCATGCGGGATCCTACCGTAGGGGATCGGGGAAATTATCATTCGCGATAACGCCCGTTACAGGCCCCGCCACCCCATCACTCACCCCCCCCACGGTCACGTCACGATTCGCGCCAGCGCCGTCTGGCAATTAGCCATTCCTAAGCATCGCCTGACGGCGCAGGAGCGAATCGTCATGTGACCGGCCCCCCCAATTCTCCCCTCCCAGTCACGCCCGCTTCGCCATGGGATGAAGAATAGTCTCCAGTCGGTCAATGACGACTACTAGTTAGTACCTCGTCCTCCTCGTCGCTGCCGTCGGAGTAGCCCTGCAGAAAGTTGGCGACGCCCACAGGCGCGAGGGCCACCTGGCAGCACGAGCACCCCTCCAACGGAATCCCGTGACAGCAGTAGCATGGACAACCTTGAATCCTGCAAGGGCCAGGAAAAAGACGATCATCACAGACACGACGACGACTAGGATTTAGGATAGACAGCGGAGGATGACGACGGTGATAGCCACGACGCTGGAGCATATGAAAGCACAAGCTGCAGTTGACTTAATTCGCTGGCCCAGCGTACCGATGGCGAGGCAGACCCCAACGGCGGGTGCCCCACATTTATGTCGGAGCCGTCTGCGCCTTGCCGGGCGGTCCTCGGAGCCCCAGGATGACCCCTGAGACTCTCCAGGGGTCCGTCCTGGCCCGTGTTTC